GGAATGCGGTACAACAGCCCTTTTAAAACCCTAAAACTTTAAATCAAATTAGAATGGGTGCTCTCACTGGGAGTTAAAAATTTTTAAAAAAATTGTTTGCAGAGGCTGAAAACACTGAAAAAACTTGGATGCCACCAAAAAAAAAATTTCTGGCTTGAAAATTTCCCTCCCTCTCCCCCCCCCCCCCCCCCCCCCAAAAAAAAAAAATAATGGTCCGTCAGTTAACTGAGTAAATTCGCAGTGTTTCAAACTTCATCGATCTTATTCTTTTCATTTAATTTGTCAACTGTTGGCGAAATTTTCTTTGGTTGAATCCGAATAAAAAACGAAAACTTCACGTACTCTATCAGGCGTGAGCGTGAAATTAGGAAGTTTCATTTCGCAGTCGTGCAGGGACGGCTAAGAAATGTACAAAAAAGCGTGAAGCAAGTGCAAAGTTTTCGTTTTGCCAACTTTAATCTACTGTTTTTTACCTTTCTCGTTGCTGTCGCTGTCGTCTTTGCTAAAGCTCTCAATTGTTATGATCCAGAAATTTTGCTGTCATAGTTACATAACGTCACACCTCTCTATTTGGCTGAGAATTATAGAATTTCTATCCTATTTTTAAGGAGTTACGCATTTGTTGACGGTTTGCCTCCGTATTCGTATTCCTCTTTTTTTATTTACAAGTCCTTTTACCCCCTGAGCATTTTATTCCTTGAGTTTCCTTTTCCTTTTGCAATGGGATTGAAGAAATTTGGAAGAAAGAGTCCTTGTTTACGTCATGTTTAGAGAGATCATTCTGACTTGTTCTTTTTTTTTTCGAACATGTTTATTAGATCAAATGTAGGTAACGAAACAATTAAGCTATTTTTGTTTATTTTCTCACAACACCGTGATTCTTTCTCAAGGTTTAGCTGATCATGATATAGTCACTACAAGACACATGTCGATCACCCGTGTGTATCATTGCGGTTTGGTTATCATTCAAATGGTAAACGGCTTCACATCATGGGCACCCAACGAGAATATAGTTCAAAACCACTTAAATATAGCATTGTTGAACGTATTTTAGTATTTAAACGGTAGATAAAGGCATATTTTTATCCCCTAAAAATTTTTCATCTGTTCGCATTTCCTAGCTGAAAGTCTAGTGATCCGAAAATGATATGGATCAAAACTTACCTTTTCAAAAATTTCAGCCAGAAAAAACGCTCCCGAATTAAAATTCTAGGTGACCTTTTTAGGGTAAAAGTCCGTTAAAATTGGGCAATTATACCATTTTTTAGATGTTCGAAAATCCTAGGAGGGACAGGCAAGCAAGAAATTTTACAACAAATGTTCCAAAAATTCTAGATCTCAAATCGTCTTCTGAACAGATATTGACGTTGGGTGCCCTTTCAAATCTCAAAAGTTTAGAATAAGGATGTGAGGGCTAGTTTGGTAATTTTTTGGACGGTCTGCCCCTTTCAATAAGCCCCAATAAAGATACTTTTGAATTCATTTACTACTATTTAAGAAGCAAAATTGCAAGTAGAAAATCCACAAATTTGCTTGACTTATTTTCGCATGGAGAGCGGCACGTAAATATTAATAGTAGTTTACGTTAATTAATCGATTTGATTAACCTGCATTGAGTTTAGTGTGTTAAGGAAAACAATAAAGCAAGCGTCAGAGCAAGACCATGGTCATAACAGGAATATGAAAGAAAAACTATTTGTGACACAATTCTAATAACTCAGCAGTATGTGAAGCAACAGGAAACAACATCACATTTTAGAGGCATTTGGTAATATCGTGGAAAAAGAGATATGGGTGTTCCTTGCCACCGACACTTGCTAGCAAACGGAATGCAAAGGCAGCCTTTATCCTTGGTCGTGCGTGATGGACTGAAATAAAGCAATAGAAAATATACCACTCGTAAAATTCATAAAAACTACATCCGGGACCCGAGTGGTTTATTTTCCATAATCTCACACGTGAGTTTATCGATGACGTAATTTCGTTAACTTCCCTCCAAAATTTGTAGGCGTTTTGCGTCCTTTGAATTTTAATCACACATTTTTCAAACCTTTGCTAATTTTTTGCCATTGTAGAGCCCTACTCAGCTCAGTGTTATTTCTCAAGATTATTCTAAACAATGTCAGTCTTATATTGCTGTACTGTAAATTTGAGCCGTGACAATTACTTTTTGGCGAATAAAAATCTATTATTTTATCGATGCCTTTTTGTCTATATAATAAAAAGCACATTACACGGCAGCTTGAAGATATGAATTTTATTTTCTCATGGCTAAAACATTATTTTACTCACTTGCTGCGCTCGTTCGTAAAATATTGTTTTGCCACTCGAAAATAAAATTCATATCTTCGCGCCACCGTGTAATATCCTCTATATAATAGTGCTTGTCCGCAGTACGTGAGTGCATATTTCCAAGTTAAAAATAAATACCAGTTATGTTACAGTGTGTTTAATTTAACCCACTGTGATTCAAAGGTATATTGGCCATAGAGTTTCATACTGCTTCCCTACTCGCTTGTCTGATCTTATGCATAGGTGAAAGTGCATTCCTTACTTTGTAATTTTGTTTCGGTCAGGATTTGACCAGTCACATTTTGGTTCTGCTACAAGGCCTCACCCGATTTAATTGAAAGTCCAGAA